AACATGACTGCGAAATTGAGGATTGCATGTTATCCAGATTGTATCATAATGTTACATTTGGAGTTTTGATTACTCTCCAATCAGACAATGTAGACTTATTTCGTGATCTCTCTGAAGCCGCCGGAAAGTGGGATGGCACCCTGTCATTTGATATTCACGGGAAGCAGGACCCTCTTCCAAAATCTATTGAGGATGCACCATACGAAAATCGCGTAAAGTACACGGCCACTGTGTTAAATCAATACGGACTTTCGTCGAAATTCTTGGATGATTGGACGAAATTATTACTGAGAGAGAAAATTTCGGTTGAGAAATTACAAAGGTTAAACGAGGGAAAATTGTCTTGTGTCGATTATAAATTGTCGGTGCCAATCGAAACTGATCTTGAATCATTGAGGCAAGAATTGTTTCAACTCAGCATGAGCCATGGAACGGATGTTGCTCTTCAACCTTACGACGTGTACCGAAAGCATAAGAGGTTGGTTGTGTTTGACATGGATTCCACTTTGATACAACAAGAAGTCATTGATGAGATTGCCAGGCTTGCCGGTGTTGTCAATGAAGTAGCGGTAAGCATCTTAAGGTTATGTTGATGGACGGTTTGGTTTCGACTGTCTGTCTGTTAAATATCCCTTCATCTCTCAAAGGCGATAACGGAGTCTGCAATGAATGGAGAAATTGATTTTAAAGAATCTTTGAGGAGACGAGTTTCCCTTCTGAAAGGAACATCCGTGGATGTACTGCAAACAGTCAAGGAAAATCTGATCTTTACGGAAGGCGCCCATTTCCTTTGTCAAGCATTAAAAAAGATTGGGTTCAAATTAGCCGTCATTTCAGGTATACACGGTCAATCGAAAAATGACGACTATTTTTGAATCCCTTCAATAATAAAATATTTGAAATAACTCCTAGGTGGATTTATCCCTCTGGCCAAGCACGTGAAAAATGAACTTGGATTAGACTATGCTTTTGCAAATCAAGTAAGTGAACTTTCTAATCGGACTTCCATAGGTAAACATTTTCTTTTGTTTTCCGAAAATGACATTCGACGTTCATGGAATTTGCATCTATCAGTTAAAGGTCTCCACAGATGGAAAAACATTTACGGGTGAGACAGTCGGCCCAATAATCGACGGAGAGCGTAAGGCCGAATTATTAGAAGTAATAGCCCAAGCCGAAAATGTGACATTGGATCAAGTCATCGCAGTTGGTGATGGTGCAAACGATTTATGGATGCTGGCCAAAGCTGGTTTGGGTATAGCGTTTAATGCCAAGCCGCGTGTACAAGAGAAGGTAACCAAGAATGATTTACATCAAATTTTAAAATCAAGGAAACAAGCTGATTATTGATTATTCAACTTTTTACTTGTAAACTAGGCTCGCGCAAGGATCAATCAAAAAAGCCTTAAATATATATTGTACCTTTTAGGATACTCTGATGATGATACAAAACAACTACTATTATAGAACCCATATAATTATAATTCATTTTCTGTAATGGAAATGTACAGTAACAAAAACATATAATACAGTATATTATAGTTAGATGAACATAACATCGATTATTGATAAATCAGTACTGAGATGGATTGATTGGTCACTAATGTTCGGGTCTATTCAGTCATTTGCATGGTTATAACAAAGATTCATCCAGCAAGTGTCATTCACATTTCTACCAATTCCAAGACACATCATGCTCGATGTACACATTTCCGGATTTTAGCTTCGTATGCTGTATGCTCTCACCATCCAATTCAAATTTTAATGTCAATTTTAAGAGATTAGGGATTTCAACAATTATAATCAAAGTAGTCCTTGTTATTCCTTAAAAATCAAAGCATGTAATAAAGGCACTTCGCGAAATATCGCTGCATCTGACACGTAAATGGTTGAGAAATAAAAAGGACAAGAAGACAAATTATAACTGTTACTTAAATAAAAATTATAATAAACCGGTCTAATGTTATTTAAGAAGCTCCATATAGAGAGCTTCTGTTTGCTTCTTTTTGAGATTATTATTATTTACATACATATAATTTATTAGTTTTAATATTTTTTATAATAAATTATATAGTAAAATTGATAAATTGTACTTCAAAAAATTATTTTTTAAATTAGACAAATTTTAAATTTTAAAATCAATTTTTTGACAACTGTCTTATCAAAATATGTTAAATTTTTTGTCAATAATATAAAGGATTTTGATTTTAATATATAATTTTTTAAGAATTTTTGATTATGTAAATTATTGATCTATGAATCATTTTTTAATATTTTTTCAAGTTAAAAAATTTTGCTAAAAAAATAATCTCTAAAATTTGCTTTTCATTTAAATTTTATTTTAACAATTACAAAATTCTAAAAAAAAAATCAGAAGATCAGAATTTGTGAAAACTATTCATTCTAACATTTTTAAAACAATGAGATTAGATTTGAAATTTTAAGATATGTCTTAATTACTTATAATTAATACTATATAAATAATAATATGTTTATAATATTATATTATAGTTTTCAAATAAAATTTTCAAATAAAATTAAAGCTTCAATAAATGTATTGAATCAGATAATACAATCTGAAGTTGAATAAATATTGGATATAATTTCATATATCAATTTGATTATTTTTTATATTATAGATATAAATAAATAATTGTTGTTTAATACTAATATAAATTATTTATTTCTATTATTAATTTAACTTTTTTATTGATTAATAAGTAGTTAAATATATAAATAATAATTTCAAAGCAGAAATTGCATTTGAAAAGTTATTTATTTAATATTAATATATAATAAATTATTATTATTGTTGTTGTTATTATTGTTGTTGTTGTTGTTGTTGTTGTTATTGTTGTTATAAAGTATAAATAATTATAATAATTGATTATTTAATTTTAATAAATATAATTAATTGAGAATTAATATAAATTTTTTTATAAAAATAAATTAATTTCAGATTTTAGTAATAAAATTTTGTATTTACAATATATATATGTATCAGAAAAATATCAAATTACAAATTTTATTTTATATAATTTATATTAGTAATTCAAAAATCTTAAAAAATTCAATCAAAAGGTTTATTATAATATAGTTGAGTTTTTATAATTAAATCTTAAAGTTAAATATATATGGTATACTTGAAATACTATATAAACAAAAGTATTATATTGATTTTGACTAAGATAATTTTTGTTTTATTATTATTATTATTATTATTTTAAAGATGATATACAGAAGATGTACAAAAAGTTTATGAACAACTTTAAAAATTAAAAATTAAATTAAATTAATAGAATATTAAATAAATAAAAAATATATTTAAAAATTTTAAAAATTAAACTTTTAAATAAAATTATTAAAAAAAAAAATTATGCAATAGTTTTTGAGAAAAATTAAATTTCAAAAAATTTTTAAAATTTTTATTTAACGGCTATAATATATAAAAAAATATATATATATTTTTTAAATATCTAATTACATATTTTTTTATTATTAATTTATTACTATTAATTTATAAATATCTATATAGCTAATTATATTTTTTTTAATATTTTGTAGTCCTCCTTAGCTGCAATACAAGCTATAATATGATATAATATATTCTTGATCAATTATTTGCAATATGTCATATTGATTTCATTTTAATATTTTAAAACACAATTCTTAAGTTTCATTAATTACTAGATTTGACTTTGCGAACATGAACTTTAATATAATGTCAGAGGTTTTCAATTGGGTTAAAATCTGGATTTTAAGAAGGCCAATTTATAACCTGAATATTTTTATCAATAAAAAACTTCTTTGTAATTTTTACAGTATATAACCTTGTATTATTATATTGAAACCAAGAGTGGTTACTATAATTCCAATTAGTTCCATCAAAATTTTGAAAGGCTGGCAAAAGATGATCTTGAAGAGTTGTAATATATGACTTTGCTATAAGTAAAAAAAAAAAGTAAATCTAATTTTTTTTTATTTAAAAAAACCAATTTTTTTCTTATCTTTAACCAAGATATAAAAAGGAATAAGGGGCCAACACCAAACTAGAACTCTGAAAAGTACTAAACTGATATCAAAGTAGTATTAAAATAGTATTGATCTATAGTAAATTTAATATATAGGTTGTGATCCACTCATATGAATTTATAGTAAATTTAAATATCAAACTGATATCAAACTGATATCGAAGTGATATCATTAGGAGCCCTATACCAAACTATAAAAACACCTCCACTGTATATGACTTGGACTATAGTTAATGGTTATAGAAAAGTATTTAGTATTCTATTCTTCATATAGATTATGTCAAACATAATATTTACTTCCTTGTTTGAATTAAGTAAATATAAACTTGTTATTCTAGACTACTTTTTTAAAGTTCTAAATAATTTAGTCTTTATATGCAAGGCATTAGGTAAGTCAGTCTTCAATATTTTTTTCTGAAAAGAAGAGCTTAGGATGGACAATATAGCTTCTTAACTGTTTTTTATATAGGATTTAATAGATAATTTTTTTAAATACTTTAATTTCTATTTTCATCAGGAAATTTTTTGGTGGAGATCTCCGGAGATCTCCACCCATAAAAAAATTTTCGAAAATTTCCGGAAAAAA